GGCTGGCACTGCTCCCTCCCCGCTCCCACCCCCACCCCCACCACTGCCCCAGGCCAGCGGGGCTGACATAGGCGGCTGAGCATCTCATCTGCTCAGACCCCAGCCAGAAACACTGACACGCACCTCTGACTGTCCTCTCCTTCTCTCTACCCTTTCTCTTCTTCCTGCTGCTCTCTAAACCAGAAAAGAGGAAGTTCTAGGGCAGCTTGAGATATTACAAGTAAATATCAGACAGAGGACAGTGTGAAGAATAAGCCACAGTCACAGTGTGACTGGGACCCAAAGTGCAACCGTTAAGCCGACCGTGGCCTAGAGTCTTCTCCAACCCAGGCAGGGCATCGTCAAATCCCTATCTCACATATGTGTGAATTGAGGCTTACAGGTCCCAGTGAACTTCTCAAAACAGAAGCCCGGGTCTGCCCCCGTGCCGTGTAGGCTCTACCTGACACCAGGAGAAAATACTACAGGTCATGGGTCCTCAGAGGAACAACAGCTAAGGTTCCCCCACACCCACCCCCTCCCACACTCCACCCAACTAGGACGGAGAAAGAGGAGGGCAAGCAAGCAGTGGTCTGCTGCAGCCACTCCCCTGACACCTACATGTCCTGGGTGGGCGTGAGAGACCACAAGTCAGACAGGCCCCAAGTCTTTCTGTACAACTCAACGGAGGGAGAGGTGGACCCACTCCGATCCCTTCTGAGAGCTTCTCCCTTGAGATAAAGGACCAGTGAGGCCACAGCTCTTTCTGAACCACAGCCCCTCTCACATACGAGACCCTGCCCTGGGCTGGCCCTCATCTGTGCCCCCAGCCCAGGCCCCCAGCAGAGTCCTCTCCAGACACTTTACGGAGCAAGGAGCCTTGGAAGCAGGGATAAACCAATTTCAGCAACTGCTAACACGTTTTCATTAAGCAGTAAATAATCCATATAAACCTAGTCATAAATCAAATTCCCCATGGCCATTAAAGAGTTATGAATCTAGCCTCTCACCTTTTTGACTAATTAATAAGCTGAAAACCCCAGAGCCATGTTATGAATGGACCCATGTCATCATTTCTGTCAGACCTACAAGAAAAAGAATTTTTCCCCCATTTATACTGTCCCTAGGATCATTCTAAGCACCAAAGCCATTTCACAGCACAATTGTCTTTAAGTTTTACAGACTTGGTTAATTATAGAATCATAAGTTTTTGATCTAAAACTGACTTTCATAAATCCTCACTTGACAATATATTTATTGATTTTAGAGAGTGAGGAAAGCAGGGCGAGGGTAAAGAGACAGACAGGCAGGCAGGCAGGCAGGTAGGGAGACAAACATCTATTACCTCCTGGACATGCCTCGATCAGCGATCAAACCCACAACCTTGCAGGGGTGTCCAGACTTTTGGCGTCTCTGGGCCACACTGGAAGAAGAGCTGTCTTGGGCCACACATTAAATACACTGTACATGTAACCACAAAAAACATCTCATAATGTTTTAAGTAAGTTCATGATCTTGTGTTGGGCCACATTTATAGGCATCCCGGGCTGCATGTGGCCGACTGGCCGCAGGGTGGACACCCCGGTATGAGATGATGCCCCAGCCAACTGGGCGAGCGGGATAGGGCTCACAGCACAATTTTTTTAGCAAGCAGAAGGAAACTGTTGCGGGACAAGCCCAGGGGACTGGAAAGATCAGCCAGCAAAATGAGAACCGTGCTCCGGAACACACCGCTGGCAAGAGCAGCGCCAGGGCTGAAGGCCACCCCGGGGCACCTGCTGCAGGGATGCGGGGCCCCCTTTCTCTTCTTAGGGAAAAATTCTGAACCCAGCTTTTGTGCAATAATTACAAAACACTCAGGAGCTTTCTGTGGCTTTTCTGTGGGAACTCTCACCGCCGTCTCAGGAGTCCGCTCCTTGGATGACCGTGACCTTTCACTGCACTGGATGAGAACAGCCTCGCCAGCCCAGTAGGCAGAGCCCCGTCGGCCCCAGAGCAGCCCACGGCTCCCTCCGGCTGAGTAGGGCTCTGGACTAGTGCCGGCTCTTGCAGATGACACACGCTTCTGTTTCTGAAAATCCTCTTTCCATCAGAAAAAGTCACACACAGACACACACGGGTCACACATCCACACAAGTGGTTCAGAGAAAACGAGATTTGAAAGCTGATGCACACATGGCAATCGTCGCCTCACTCCTACCGAAAAGGTACCTGTTGGCGTGACCGGCACCACTGGGCAGGCAATTCCAGAACCCAAGTGACCTACAGTGTAGCCACTGCAGCCCGCTTGTATCCATGAGGATTCACCTACGAAACCCAAAAGTTTTAAAAAGGGACCCATTTTTTTTTAATTTATTTATTTACTTATCTTTAGAGGGGAAGGGAAGGAGAGAGGGAGAGAAATATCAATGTATGGTTGCCTCTCATGTGTCCCCTGCTGGGACCTGGCCTGCAACCCAGGCATGTGCCCTGACTGGGAATCGAACTGCGATCCCCTGGTTTGCAGGCCTGTGCTCAATCCGCTGAGCTACACCAGCCAGGGCGGTATCCATTTCTAAAGACTAGAGAGAGGACCCTTTAAAGATATGATCAATTTCATTACATTGTGGGCTCAAACATGATATTGTATCCAACAGCGATGAAAATCAGGCAACTAAAATTCTTCTAATGACAAAACAACCCAACAAAGTCGCCTTGCCTTTACAGGGGCTTCTCCTCAGCCAGTCCGGCGCATCATCCCATGAAACTCTCATCTTCAAGTCCACCAGAAGAAGCGAGGCTTTCCTACCCAAGGCACCTCAACTATTGCCATAACTACTCCTGATTTGGACCAAGGTTTTTAAAGCTGAGATCCACATCACTGAGACACGCCCTGACCCCCCCCTCAAAAGGCAAATACTGCCCCTTCACCTGGCATGGCTGCCTATCAGGGTCTTGGGACAGCGTGTGACCTCAAGCAGGCGAACGGCTGTGCAGAGTTCTGCCTTCTGGATACGCCATTTCTGGAGCATGTCTTGGAGTTCTAAAACACCTGCCCCCAGCCCTGACTGATGTGGTTCAGTTGGTTGAACAACACACGCAAAGCAAAGGTTCACCAGTTGACCTGCGGTCAGAGCGCACTCCTAGACTACATGTTTTAGTCCCAGTAGTGGGTGTGCAAGAAGGCAACCAATGGACGTTTCTCCCTATCTTTCTCCCTCCCTCCCCCTCTCTCCAAATAAATAAATACATATATTATTTAAAAAAATAAAAAATAACCCTGGCTGGTGTGGCTCAGTGGATTGAGGGCTGGCCTGCAAACGGAAAGGTCACTGGTTCGATTCCCAGTCAGGGCACATGCCTGGGTTGCAGGCCAGGTCCTCAGTTGGGGGCAAACAAGCGGCAACAGATAGATGTATCTCACACATGGATATTTCTCTACCTCTGTTTCTCCCTCCCTTCCCCTCTCTCTAAAAGAAAATACGTAAAATCTTAAAAGAAATGAAATGAATTCATTAAAAAGCACCCGCCCCCATAGCACAGGGAGTCTGATGCAGGAAACTCAGTGCACGTGCCCCTCCACAGCCCCGCAGAACCAGCAGGCAGGGCCAGGCCGAGGCCACTTCCGGTAACGCCATGGCTAGGACTGGAAACCGTGAAGGCACTCTGCTATTTCTGTACTTAAATGCATAACTGAGATTTGGGCAAATCTTCAAATTAGGTGGCGGCTCTGAAAGCAGGACACTTCCATCTTGCAAGCCTCCTCGAGGCTGGCCAAGAGGTAGGTGGAAAAACTGCTCAGAGCTAAGAACTGAAAATCGCATGGCATTTGGTACAAATGACTTCTTTTCTGAGACCCGTAAACAAAACTTTTTGCAGTGCAGTCTGGTTCACTCTCAGGTGAAAAACATACCAGGCTCCTGCCCATCAACACACTAACACTGTCGTGGGGAGGAAAAACGGTTTCAATGAAGGGGAACTGGCCTGACCGCTGCTGGACCGCTCGGTGCCAGATCCAAGCCAGAACAGATTACCTCCTGTAATCCCCTCGGAGACCATCTGACCCTTTCCCAATGCCTCAGATGTGTTTGTTCCTAGAACAGGGCTCTGCCCTGCTCTGGGCAAGTATGTAACATGTTTCCCTTTTATCTGGGGTGGGTCATACCCACGTTCCCCAATCACCCTGCCCTGTCCTATACAATTCCTTAGCACTGGCCAGGTGGCACAGATGATAGCCATGTTGTCTTGCCAATGCCCAAGATGTACCTCCTGTGCGAAGTTCCCTTCCTAAACTCCCAGCGTTAATGCTGTCCTGTCTCTGGTCCCCGGGAAATTTTACGTAACACGCACCCACCAACACACTAGGACCGTGCCCGCCGACCACTGGGACCTAGACCATCAACACACTGGGATCATGCCCACAACATACTAATACCATGTCCACCAACATGCTAGGACTGTGTCTTCTCTGAGAAGCTAGCACAGTGCACACACAAATTTAATCTACAGTGAAGTACCCTTCTTTCACTACTTAAAGCAATCTTCAGGAGATTGGACACTGCTCCTCACACACAATTGTATCACTGCCTTTTTTGTTTGTTTGTTCGTTTTAGTTTTGTATGAGTCAGCCTCGGCTGATTCCTGATAAGCTGGTTTGAGAGGAGAAATGAACGAGGAGAAAAATTGAACTACAATGTATCTCCATAAGTAGCACCTGGGGAGCGCAGACAAGAAATTCGGATAGGGTTACCGTGGGGAAGTGGACCGCCCACAAGACGCGGGGGCAGGAACCCTGCTGCACCACTGCGGATTTTCCATGGTGACGTGTAAATGAATGAGTGAATGAAACGCACGTGGGTTCTGGGACCAGTATCCTTAGCCTAGAACCGAGGGGATGGACTGGGCATGCAAAATGGCATTGGGGTGCGGGGATAGACAGGATAAGAAGGCAGCCGGGCCCGGGAGGTGGCCCAGGGGTGCGTGATGGCCAGGGGACGCCCCCCACCCCCGCCACCTAGGTCGGGTTCCGTGCCGATACTCACGCACGCAGAGGCAGGCCACGAGCTTAGCGGCCTCCTCGGGCACCGGGCAGGCAGGGAAGAGCGGCTTGAGCAGGTAGGTGGCGAAGACGAGCGCCACGATGTACTGCGAGGAGGGTCGGATGATAAGCAGCTCTATCCAGAGCTTGAGGAAGGCGGGCAGCGAGCCGTAGACCTCCAGCATGTAGGCATAGTCACCGCCGGATTTGGAGATGGTGGTGCCCAGTTCGGCGTAGCAGAGAGCGCCCACGATGGAGAAGACACCACACACGGCCCACACCACCAGCGACAGCCCGGGTGAGCCCGCCTCCTTGAGAACACCGGTAGGCGTCACGAAGATACCGGAGCCGATGATGGTGCCTACGATGATGGCCACGCCATTGAGCAGCGTAATGTTGCGCTGCAGGGTCACACCCTCGCTCTCCAAGCCACCCGAGCCTTCCGTGCGCCGCGCCTCCAGCATCTGTTCTCGTGCTTGCTGCTCCTCCTCTGCCGCCGCAGGGGCAGCAGACGCGCGCCGCTTCGGGCCCATGACCACCATTGTACCACGAGGGACAGCTCTCGCCCGACCACGAGGTCCGGGCCAGACGGGAACCTCCGCCGCTCGGCCCTTTTGTATATCTCTGACCCCGCCCATGCCGTGGTCCCGCCCCGCTCCGCCCCTGCTCCGCCCCCTGCTGCTCTTCTCGAGTCAGTCACTGCTCAGCTAGCTTTCTGATTACCAGGATTGCAAGACCGCTCACCAAGCCCCGCTTCACAGCTTCGCCCAGGTGCAATCCAGTGACTACGCCCCACCGATCCTTAAGATAGGTATGGGCCACACAAGGTTCAGCCCTAGTATAGCTGTGGTTCCCAACGCGGCCCCGGGGCCCCTGCTTTCTGTCTGGTTCCTGTCGTTACTACGCAGTTGGTCGGCCCCCCGCCCCGCTTGGTCCCAGACTGGCAGCAAGCGGTGCAGCAGGGCCGAGCCGGGGCCATACCACAGGAATGGTGGGATTTGGAGTGACTTTGGGGCTCAGAGGAGGCCTGCCTATTCCCTGAAGGGCGCCCAGGCTCAGTGGGGCGCAGGCTTCCTTTCTATGGGTTGCAGTAACAGAGTCTCCCACTGCCCCGGGAGAAAGAAGATCAAAACGACCCCTCCTAGGGGAAACTCGTGGTTCAGCTGGGGCCTGGGGTACTGAGTCAGATTTCAGTAGTGAGCCAGATTTCTGAAAGTATATGCTGAGCTCATTTCCGAGCACAGAAATTCCCATTTATCCCAAGGGGAATCTCCCTGTCCTTGGGAGAAATGGGAAAGAGCAGTATTCGGAGCAGCTTTCAGGGGCACACACTTTGAAAGGCAGTGACAGGCTTTTGGGAAACCAGAAATTTGCATAAACTCAATTACATTGACAAAGGAGAACCTTGAGTACTCCACCCAAAAATCTAGCTTGGAAATTCAAGGAATTTTAAAGGCAGGCTGCAGACAAAGGGGCTTTGACCTGTTCTTGAAGAATGTGAGAGTCGCCTTAGGTAAGGAGGGTGGTCAGGTGGTCAGAGAGGAATGCCCAGGCACCACTGGCCTGGAAGATGTTAGGGTAATAAAACACAGTCTCTCCACTCTTCTCCCTGGCCTTTCAGAGGGAGCGTGCTGCGGGGCAGGAGGCTGGCCTGCAAAGGCCAAGCAAAGTTACAGAGCCCTCAGTGGGTACCGGGCACTGTCCTGAGCCCTGGGAATGCAAATTCTTGTTTAATAGAGTAGGTGCTGTTATCAGAGCCATTTTGTAGATGAGGAAACAGGCTTAGTGGAGTGATGTAACTCTAACCAGTAAGTGAGCTGGTACCCCCATCGTTCTAACGACCCCAGACATCTGTGTGTACTTTTACAAGTAGTTTATTCACCTCCAGACTGCAAGTTTTCCTGTAGTTTATTCACCTCCAGACTGCAAGTTTTTGTCATTCATAGCAGCTAAGACTTGGACATCTCAGGATGGTCTTTGGTTTCACAAGGAAGGGCATCATTTGGCAACGCTCTAAGGCCAGGTCCCAAGCACCTTCGCCTAGGTTCACACAGCCAACACCTGCAGGGTGTATCCCCTGTGCTGGCCACTGCACCAGGCCCCAGGCACACAGCGGTGAATGCCACCTCCATTAAGAGAGAGGCAATCAACAATCACACACAGCAATGTAAAATTACAGCTGTGATAGCTAAGGGGGCTACAAGGGCCCAGAGAGCCCATCAGAAGGAACCTGCTTTCCCGGAGTGAGAATTAACAAGGGAGACGGAGAGAACACAGACACACTTGGAATGTCTGGGCCCCTCCCCTGCAGGGCCCCTGGGAAGTTGCAGGAGATCTTAACTGCTGGAAGGGCGACAACATCCCTGGACAATTTTCAAGACCTCACAGGATCCCAAGATCCCACTGCTTCGCTACCACTGTGGACTGTTTTCATATAATGACCCAGATTTCCTCCTGCAAATTTGCTTTGATTTACAGGTATTTTGACATCCAGAATCTCCTTACACTAGATTGAAGACTAAACTCTGAGGAAAGAGTGCCATCTACTGGTGACCAGTAAGGAGCTTTTTGTTCAGACATTCTCAGCACTAGCAAGTAATTTATTGGAAGTTGTGTCATTTGTTCTCCGTGAGGCTGGAGAGGAGAATATGGTGAATATTTCTGTAGGGGGAAATCTGGGAGTTTCTGTTGAAAGCTTTAAAACCATGTGTCCTGTCTAGCCTAAATTTCACTTTTAGGAATTTCTCTAAGGAAATAAGAAGTGTGCTGTGTTTTGGCTGTGTGCATGATTGCTTATTACAGCTTTAAAATGTAATAGCCAACATCGGAAATAAACCAAACACCTAACAGATTTGCTTTGGTAAATGTTGCTATAGCCACATGGTCGAATACAGTATAATCATTAAAAATGAAGATGTAAAATGATCTTTGCTGAAAAATATGTTCATGATATATTATGAGTGAAACAACGGGGTATAACACTCCAAGGCCCCATTTGGTGGACTCTTGGGAGGCTTCGGCCAAGCTAGGACCCCATGTCCACTTTTTTGAGGTCTGGGAAAGCTGCCGTTTTGTGGGAGCGAGCAGTACTTCTCAAGTATAGGGTGTAACTTGGCCGTCTAAGGAGGCACGTTTCATCTTGGGAGAGGAAGGCTGGGCTTTGAAGAAGCTGAGCCGCCCCGGAGGAAAATGTCCATTGCACTTCAGTCATACAGAGCTGTATCTGGAGGGCTCTGCCGTGTGGAGTCCCAGAGGCTCTGGGGTCACCTGAGGAGAGAAGAACCCGCCACAGGCCCTCCGGCTGCCGGAAGACAGGTTGGAGGTTGGGCCAGAAAAGTGGCTGCCCTTCAAGCTTTTTCTGCCCACCTTCTGAGCTCTCACCAATTATTTCCACACTGTCAGTGATCTTCAGATTCCCGAGGGCATAAGGTGGGCCATAGGCAACAGGGAGTGGGGGAAAGGGTGGAGGTGGTCCCAAGGTACAAACTCCCAGTTACAAGATAAGTAAGCCCTGGGCACGTAGTGTACAGCATGGTGACTATACAGTTAAAAACACTGTAGTGTATGTTTGAAAGTTGCTCTGAGGGAATATCTTAAAAGTTCTCATCACAAGAAAAAAATAAAGTGATAGATGTTAACTAGACTTACCATTTTGCACTATAAACAAATATGAAATCATTAGGTGTGTATACCTTAAACTAACACAATTTTATACGTCAATTATATCTCAATAAAACTATGGGGAGGGGGATTTTATGGTAACGGTACCAACCATGGGTTTGGAATCAGGCTTTTTGAGTTCTCACCTGGGTCTCACTGCACACCAGCTGAAGGAAGCTGGGCAAACTCTAGTCTTTAGGCCTCAGTTTTACATGCTATAAAATGGGAAGAGTAGCACCTACTACAAATGAACTTATATGTGTAAAGCACTTAGAACAGCATCTATCTCAAGAGAACTCAATAAATAGTAGCCAGTAGTGGTAGTAACAGTGTCTATAAAATGACTACGAAATAGATTTAAGTATATACCAAAGTGGTAATAGCAGCCATCTCCAGGTGAGGCAGGTTATGTAATAGTAACATTGTTTCCTTTTAACACCGATGAGATGCTGTAGGAACTTCACTTGTTTGTATCAGTTAGCTGGTGGTGAAACTGGGTTCGCTTCCAGTTGCAGAGCCTGTGGACAACTTACCCTGTGATGTGAGGACTTGCTGTATGACATTGTTTTTTTTTGTATTTTCCTGTTGTTTCTAAACTTTGTATGAGCATATATTCCCTTTACATTGTTAATCTGAAGGGAAACCCACCCACAGAATACAGGAGCCGCCTTGTCGTTCTGGCTCCCTTTCCTCTGGAGCTGTGCGTTACTCTCCTCACCATGGTTTGCGGCTCTTCCCCCTTCCTTGGGAAAGGGGGACCCAGGGAAAGTCTCCCTCCTGGTCCTCTGGCTTAGTCTCCGACTGCTGTTTATAGGGAGGGGCAAACTCTGATGTTTTGGGCCTTGGTAGAGAAAACGTTTGGCCCCCTTGCCGAACCAGAGTTGAATGGCCCTAGAAATCTTTAATCAGCAGAAGTGGATTGAGTTTCACAAATATTCCAAACAAAAGTCATCTCCAGGTGTGTTTCTCTTAAAGCAAAGCCTGTTGTTTCTGTAGGTAAACGAAAGTTACAAAACACATTAGAGTGGTTTTCTGCCTGCAGACAGACCCTTTGCTCTGAGAGACAGTGGGCTCACTTAGTCTTAAATAGTTTAAAAGCCTTGCTTCCTGCCCTGCATTGTACTAGTTTGTCAACCTTGAAAATAAAACAGCTAGTTATTTTACCAGCAAAAACGAGTTTATCTGGGAACAGCAGAGGAATGCAATTTGGGACATACCAACCCAGACAAGCCCACAGAACAGAGGTGGGGAGCTTTTTTTTTTTTTTTATGGAGAAACAGGAGGAAGTGGAGAGGACTGGTTATGAGCAAAAGTCCATTGGAGGAAAGCGAGAGTTCAAGGTGATGGTTGTTTCTCATTGGCTTGGCTGTTGCTAGGTGAGGAGAAAATCCTCCTCTCTGGATCTGAGAAGTAAGCTTCTTTCTGTCCCAGTTCGTAAAATGAGTTGTGATGGGTGGTACAATACCTGTGTGAGAGCTTCCACTTCGAAAGAGGTTTTTCTTTGTTTATTTCCACATGTTTCTCAGCAACCCTGTGTTTACAGCTGATGCAGGCAGACCCGCTCGCTAGTGGCCTGGCTTTAGAAGGAAGCTCTAGCAGTGTGACCGCGTGTCAGCCTGTGCTTTGGCTTCCACCTCTGTACAATGGGAAGTAATAGTACTTGTTTGAGGTTTGAATGAAATAAGGCAGATACAATATCTCACAGAGCAGAGAGGTTCACAGCTTGTCCTCTCTAACTGGGTTAAACCTGTGTCATTGTTCCATCTTCTTCTAAGCAACCACAGTAGAGCAGCAAGGTGGTGGAGAGTTGGAAAGGGAGGAAACGACTCTTTGTTTTTGCAATATAGTTTTCCTGATGCCCAAGGTTGTGTTTTTAACCACCCCCAGAGATTCAAGAGCTATGGCTTGAGTGTTTATAACCCTGTTAGATCCTTGCTCTTCTTTTGAACT